TAATTGTTACATTCTTTATCCAGTTTCCTTTGGGAGACAATTCACTGCAGTTGCCTGAGTGGTCCCTGGATCAGTCGGTGAATTTGCAAAGAACTCTTGATGCGAATCTGAGCAATGCTCCAGACCTTGTTGGTGCTCATCTCAATCAGCGAAATGAGCAGCTTGTGCAGGACAACCTTCAAGCACAGCTTACAAATGCAGAATCTCAAAGTTTAATCATATCAAGTTCTGAGCATGATGTTCCGAAAGATGGGAATATCAACTATGCTTTCACTTTGAGACAGCAATTATTAGATCGAGAAGAGGGTTTGAAGAAAGTTGACAGCTTTTCTAGGTGGGTTTCCAAGGAACTTGGAGAGGTAGATGATCTACAGATGCAATCCTCATCTGGTATTTCATGGATCACTGCTGAATGTGGAGATGTAGTTGATGATTCCTCGTTGAGCCCCTCTATCTCCCAGGACCAGCTTTTCAGCATAGTTGATTTTTCACCAAAGTGGGCATACACAGACTCTGAAATTGAGGTACAAAATTCTGAACCATATTATCATACACCTTAAAGCAAAAAAATTAAAAAATAGGGCAGAAAAATAGTAACTTGTATATTGGACTGAGTTTCTGCCACGTAAATATATCTAGTCAGATGCTCACTAGGATGTATCCTTAGAGATGGTTTTTGCACCAAAATAATTTCCTTGATGAAAATGTATTTTATAACATGCCATTGTTCCATAAGCATGATTACTCTGATCAAGTCTAACTTTTAGTTAGACATTGTACATCGTGCTTAGGACTTCTTGCAATACTAACATGTTCCACTCACGGAGCAGAAAAGAAAGAAACCTACTATTTAATTTCTATTACTTTTATACTTGAGATTTTTTACATATTTTGGTTTTGCTTCTCATCTGTTCCCACTTAATCAGTTTTGCTGTTATATTTGTTCTTTGGTATCTGTCTTCCAACTCAATTTCAATAATTGAGTAAGGCTACTATCAAAGGATCTATTGTCTCCATTTATTTGTAATGGGCTACAGAATATGTTGACATGTCTAATGTAGATCTGATGGTTTTCATTGTTATCTCATTCTTCTTAATGTGAAACAGATTCTGGTTTTTGGAACATTCTTGGTAAGTCAAAAGGAGGTAACAAAATACAGCTGGTCTTGTATGTTTGGGGAGGTGGAAGTTCCAGCAAAGGTTTTAGCCAGTGGAGTTCTTTTCTGTTTTGCTCCACCTCACAGTGCCGGGCAAGTCCCCTTCTATGTAACTTGTTCCAACAGGTTAGCTTGTAGTGAAGTAAGAGAGTTCGATTATCAAGTGGGCTCCACCAAAGGTTTAGATATGACAGATATATGCAATGACACTGCACACGAAATGCATCTTCACTTACGTCTTGAGAGTTTACTGTCTCTGAGGTCTGTCAGCCCTTCAGGTCACCTGTTTGGAGGTGTTAAGGAGAATCGAAACATAATTAGTAAAATCATATCACTGAAGGAGGAAGAGGATTATTTACATGCAGCAGAACCAACAGTAGCGAATTATTTGCTCCAAAATGAAGGGATGGAACATCTTATAAAGCTGATGAAAGAGAAGTTGTACACTTGGCTACTTTATAAAGCAATAGAAGATGGTAAAGGACCAAGTGTATTAGATGCTGAAGGACAAGGTGTGCTACATTTAGCAGCTGCCCTTTCCTACAATTGGGCCATAAAACCCACTGTAACTGCGGGAGTTAGTATCAATTTTCGTGATGTTAATGGATGGACCGCCCTTCATTGGGCTGCATTCTATGGCAGGCAAGGACATCAGAACCCTTACCATTTTATTTTAGTCTAGCTTCTGTTGAATCTTATCTACCTATGTTGTCTACTAAGGGCTTGGCTTATACACTTCCCTTGGAGCCCATTAAAGCATCCCAAGTTTGTTTTACCATACTTTTGCAAAGCTTGATCTTATCTAAAATATGTGAGATGAGGATGCCATTGGACAATTGACTTTTTTCTCTGAAACATGGAGTAGGTGCCACTAGTTAACTAGTGATTTCATAGTAACCCGCACTTTTTAAGCTCTAAGCTATATATGTCATTTATCTTTTACCATTATAAATTTCTTCAAATTTCCAACACCTTACATTTACTCATTTGTTTTTTTATTTCCTGAACCTATGCCAAATTCAGAGAGCAGACAGTTGCAGTCCTTGTCTCTCTTGGTGCCGATCCTGGAGCACTGACCGACCCGTCTCCAGAGGTACCTTTGGGTAGAACACCAGCAGACCTGGCATCTGTGAACAGTCACAAAGGAATTTCAGGCTTCCTCGCAGAGTCTTCCCTGACCACTTTCCTTAAATCCCTTACAATGAATGATGCAAAGGAAGATAGTGCTGCAGAAATATCTGGAACAAAAGTTGTCAAAACTTTTTCAGAACGGATAGCTACACCTGTGAGTTACGGTGATATGCCCGATGCGCTGTCACTGAAGGACTCACTTACTGCTGTAACTAATGCTACCCAAGCTGCTGATCGTATACAGCAAATGTTTAGGATGCTGTCATTTGAGAGGAGACGAATTACTGAGCATGACATTGATGAGTTCGGAATGCCGGATGAGAGAGCAATTTCACTCATAACTTCCAAATCACACAAGGTGGGACCGGTCAAAGGGTTTGCTCATACTGCTGCAGTTCAGATACAGAAAAAGTTTCGTGGTTGGAAGAAAAGAAAAGAATTCCTGATAATTCGCCAGAGAATTGTTAAAATCCAGGTCCGCTACAATTTTATTCCTGCTGATTATTATTGTTATCATTATATACTTTGATCATAAAAAGAAAAAACAATCTTATTGTGGCACAAGTGATCCATATAAAGCTCTCTATAAAAGTACTTTGACCATGGGTTGTTTCGCATATAAAAGTTAGTACTTTTAGTTTTCTTGTACAAATGATGGAAAGGGTTGTAGACTTGTTAATTTTGGGACCACTTAGGGTTTGACTGGATCCTGGTCTTATTCTCCACTTTTATTAACTATTTGATTTCAAGTGGGCTCCTAATTGTATATTTTCTCCATTTCCCATGCTGTTAACTTTTGCAGCGGTTAAGTAAAATGAATTTCGAGGCGAACTTTTGAAAAACCCTCTTTTATCTTTCTGGGTATTACTTTTCTGAATTATTTTACTACGGCTGTGAATGCTAATTTCCCATTTTTCATTTTATAAAGGCCCATGTAAGGGGACACCAGGTAAGGAAACAATATAAGGCAATCACCTGGTCAGTTGGAATTCTGGAGAAAGTTATTTTGCGTTGGAGACGTAAGGGGACTGGTTTACGAGGATTCCGACCGGATGCAGTTGCCAAGATTCCGAGCCCACAACCTGTGCCCTCAAACGAGGATGATTATGACTTTCTTAAGAAAGGAAGAAAACAAACAGAGGAAAGGTTACAAAAAGCACTCACTAGGGTAAAGTCTATGGTTCAGTATCCAGAGGGAAGAGCTCAATACCGTAGACTGCTAAATGTTGTCGAAGGATTCCGTGAAACAAAGGTATTGATGGATCTAAACTTGTGCATTTTGCTTTCATAGTCTTATTATTTGAGTTACTTTTTGTAGAACCGAATTTTCAATTGCGCTTCATTTTGTCTTTAGTTAGTTTACTTGTGTTCTTGGTGAACCCCGATGACATTTTTGGATATAGTTTAGTGATACTATGCTATGGTTCGCTGTCGCTGATGTTTTGCATTTCTTGTCGATCATAAGGACCTGCTAATTAACGTGTTTGTTTTTGGTTCAGTTTTCTTTTCTAAAGTTAAATATTCTTGCAGATATTTTGCTTTTCTACCTTGCTGTGTCTGAATTCATTATAGAAAAAAACATGTTCATACGTTTATTGGATGTCGCTGTGTCATTTACTATTAGACGATTAATGGAACCGTTAAGCAATACCAATCCACTTTGATAGCACGTTTTGCATGTTATGGACTATCGGCAGGTAAGTGGTATGGCTGTCGAGGGATCAGAAGAAAAGGCCGAGGGTGGTGAGGATCTAATCGATATTGACAAGTTGTTGGATGATGACACTTTCATGTCTATAGCATTTGATTGAGCCGACTCTTGAGTTACGCGACCTGTACATTACACATGACTGGCATCCTTATACTGGTTCGGAGATCCTGGTTCATGTGTGTATATGTTTAATGAACTTAGGGAATTGTTTACGATATTCCGCGTTCTGCAGGAGCACGCGGGAGTGTAGTGAGGACAACCAAAACTTACTCCTGCTCACAGAATTTGAATGTAGTTGTAATTTTATGTATGTTTTTCACCCCAGTGGAGGGAAATGTGTAGTGTATACTCGTTACAATTTGTTTAGGACGTTGAATAAAACTTCATAATCGCTAATTTATTTATAACCTGTGTTTATACCATACTTAGGGCTTCCGTATTTAGACCTCGTATAAATACTCGGAGGATTTAAATGTAATTATGTAATAAATAGAGGGGTAAATATGTAATAAGTGAGGAGCATTTATTCTATAAAATGACCCTTCACCCTCACAATTAGGGAGGCCAACTCTTAGGCCATACCCTTACCCTCTCGGTGCTCTCATCCTCATAGAGAAGCTCTCTCTCTCCCTCTTCAACATCTCAAAGAAATACAATAATCAGTGTGAACGTAGCCCAAACGTTGGGGTGAACCACGATACATCTTATGTTATTTACATTTCTTGTAGATTCACGGTCGGATTTACGTTGTTCCAAGACCTCCGGTTTTGTGCATCAACATTTGGCGCCGTTTGTGGGAAACGACACAAAAAACTATGTCGGTTCTTTTTCATTTCTTCACATCCACCGTGAATCTGAAAAATCTGCAAAAAAAACTCAGGAAACCAAATACTCTCTCTCCCCCTCTTTCTCTTTCTAAACACACAGAGAGAAGGATAGAGGAAGACTCAGATACACTCGAAACCTTCGCAGATCTCTCTCTGTTGCTTGTTTAAATCTTCTCACTCTAACACTACAGTAGTCTGGATCTGTTGATTTTCATAATCTATGGAAACAAGTTCCTTCATTCCTTCATCTTCATCTTCATCTGAAAACTTGTACACATTTTCAGCCTTGATTATCCCATCATTCGGTCTGGATTTGTTGACTATAAGTGCAAACAAGTGCCCTCATGACCTGACAGGTTTCCATGTTACTGCTGCTTGTGTCAGATCATGCCCAATATTTGTGCAACGGGGTAAGTTTCGAGTCTTGAAGCGTAAGATTGCAAGAATCCCCCTACAGTTATGGACTCACAATCCTTCATCGGTGTCAACTACGGCCAGGTCGCCGACAACCTCCCGCCGCCCTTTCTCTGCCTAAACTCCCCCATCCCTTCTCCAAACGAGCACACTCACGATGCCATTTTGACTCTACTGACGTGCTAATGTGACCATCGATGACGACGAGAGTCTAGCACAGCCTGGGCCACCCTCCGCCGTAGCAGACCGAGTCGTTTCACTACCCCCGCTACGATTCTAACAACACCAAGCGTTCTAGGCCGTCATGCTCTTCCTCATCGGGCTCGCCCTCCTCCTCTTCACTGACCCAGGAGGTCAACTCCGTCGCGCCCGCTAAACCCAATTCCTTTTTTGTGGAACCGAAGCCTGAGACGGCGACGGATCACGAAAAACTGATGGACCTGAACAAGAATGCTATTGGGAACGGTGGCTTCACTTCTCTGTTGAGTGGATTTTGGTTGTGGTGGCTGTGTTGTGTGTTTGCAGTGGTGTAGAAGGTCTTGGTGTGAATTGGGGAACGATGGCAACCCATAAGTTGCTGCCGGAGATGGTGGTTCAGATGCTAAAGGATAGTGGGATTTAGAAGGTGAAGCTTTTCGATGCAGAGGAGTCGACCATGAGTGCCTTGGCTGGCAGTGGTCTTGAGGTCATGATTGCTCAGATCGACACCATCACCCCTGACAACAAAATCCCAGTTCACCGGCGCTGAGATCCACCGCATCGTTTCCGATGCTGCTGGAGCTGACAGCCCCAACTGACGCGTCTGCTTCTACGTCTCACCTTAAGAGTGGACACGCTTCACGCTGCGCAGGATCCCGGGATCTTCCAAGTGCATGAGCAGATTTTCCTCCCTCTTCAGCTTGTTTAAAGTGCACCGTTGCTGCAAAACACAACCAAAAGTTCGATAAAAGGACTTGAAGAGTCGAATCCTAGTGCTACGGTGCGGGTTGTGGAAGATGGTGCTAGTGTAAAAGATGCACGTGGCCGTCGGTCCTACGACGATTGTGGCCGTTGTCACCCCGGAGAAGATAGTCGTCTCCAATTGCGGCGATTACTGCGTTGTGCTTTGGCGTGAAGAATGACGCCATTCAAGTGGACCAAGGAGAAAACCCAGATTTGGGACACCGACGACCAGGAAAGCCATGGGGAAACAGAGAACTTGAGTGCCATCTGCACTCTGCAAAGTAAAAGCAAAAGTAAAGCAGAAAAAGAAAAAGAAAAAAGGAGAAAAGAAAAGCAGTAGGAACAGAAAAGCAAAAAGAAAAAGGGAAAAAGAGAAGTGAGAATGGATGGGCATGACCAAAGCAAGTGGGTTTGCAAGCAAAAAATACCTTACAAAACAAGGTGGACAGAGAAGGAGCGGGGAGATCAAGAAAAGCAGAAAGCAAAAGCAAGGAATAAACACCCCACCATAATGATGTGGTTTACTTTCCTTATTTTTGAATGATGTAATTTATTTTTCATATCTTTCGGAGATATCTGTATAAATCCCATCAGAGGGTAAAAAAAAAAAAAAAAAAAAAAAACGTCAAGCCCAAAATAATGGGCTGGAGTGTTATGGGGAGGGCGAAGGCCCATATGCCCAAAAGAGCCAAGCCCGCTATTATCACCCACTAGGTGATCAAAAGTACGCCTAGTACTTCAAAATTATACATGAGCACTACTACTCATGTCAATCATACATAAATTATACATAAGAACTACTCATGTCAATCATACATAAACATTCATGAGCATCACTCATATCAATCATACATAAACATTCATGAGCATCACTTATGTCAACATTCATAAGCATCACTCATATCAATCATACATAAACATTCATGAGCATCACTTATGTCAACATCCATGAGCATCACTCATGTCAATCAACATAAACATTCATGAGCATCACTCATGTCAATCAGCTTCGAAAGCTTCATTTACAAAAGCTCTAGCTTCAAAAGCTTCATTCACAGAGCTCTAGCTTCAAAAGCTTCATTTACAAAGTTCCAGCTTCAAAAGCTTCATTTACAAAAGCTCTAGCTTCAAAAGCTTCATTTACTTCAAAAGCTTCATTTACAGAGCTCTAACTTCAAAAACTTCATTTACAAAAGCTCTAGCTTCAAAAGCTTCATTTACAGAGCTCCAGTTTCAAAGCTTCACTTGCAAAGCTTCACCTACAAAGTTTCAGTGCAGGGTATACAAATACCGCCTCCGAACAACCGCCACTTCGGCCCATACATGGATTCAATTTGAAGTCTCCAGCCAACAGACTCTATTGACCGAAGACTTGGGGGACTACATTATGTACCATATATTGGGCCTCAACTGGGCCTCATAAAAAAATACTTGGGGGACTTAACCCATTATTTATGTATTGAGGAGCGATCCCTTATTCTATAAAATGGACTCTCATACTTTCATTAGAGAGCACCCATTATTCATGTATTGAGGAGCAATCCCTTATTCTATAAAATAGACTCCCTCACTTTCATTAGAAATCACCCATCACTTATGTATTGAGGATCGAGCCCTTATTCTATAAAAGGGACTCCTTCACCTTCCTTAGAAAGCATTACCGACTGCTAAACAACCGCCTCGCCGCGAGCACCAACTCTAGCCCATCATTTTTTGTATTGAGGAGCGAGCCCTTATTCTATAAAAAGGACTCCCTCACCTTCAAACGCCACAAGCCGAGCCAACCAAGGCAACATAAGCCACAAGCAGAGCAGCCTCGCAACATGTGCTACTTCTAGTTGAGCATAATTTCAGATTGGGTATCGCCTCATATCGAGTATCAGTTCTAGACGACATCTAGTTACTATAGCCCACACATGGACTGAATTTCAAGTCTCCAGCCAAAAGACTATCTTAACTGAAGACTTAGGGGACTAGTGTTTATACCATACTTAGGGCCTCCATATTTATACCTCGTATAAATACTCAGGGGACTCAAATGTAATTATGTAATAAATGGAGGGGCAAATATGTAATAAGTGAGGAGCCCTTATTCTATAAAAGGACCCGTCACCCTCACAATTAGGGAGGCGAATTCTTAGGCCATACCCTCACCCTCTCAGAGCTCTCATCCTCATAGAGAAGCTCTCTCTCTCCCTCTTTAACATCTCAAAGAAATACAATAATCAGTGTGGACGTAGCCCAAACGTTGGGGTGAACCACGATACATCTTGTGTTATTTACATTTCTTGCAGATTCACGGTCGGATTTACGTTGTTCCAAGACCTCCGGTTTTATGCATCAACAACCTGGATATTGTCATATGACTAAGCTTGGCAAATGAACTCATGTAAACATTAGATTTCAGACCGGCGGATACTATCGAAATAAAAATAATTCCCCCAATCCATTGAAATCTAGGACCGAATTGGATGTGTATCGGGCTGCTGGATTCTAATGGCATTGTGCACGTCCAAAGATTCTAGGTTGAACTGAATGCGAGAGACAGAATTGTCTTCGGATTTTCAACGGCCACTGGGGCCTACTAGACACCACGTGTTGTGCGGTGCTCTTCCAGTCCTTGGACCCTACCTCTAGCTGAGCCGTTTCTAGGATGGGTGAGCTGTTAAACAGAAAAGTTAACCGGAGGCCCACTAGACACCACGCATGTGCGGTGCTCTTCCAGTCTTTAGATTCTACCTCTAGCTGAGCTGTTTCCAAGGTAGCGGGGTGTTAAACAGAAAGATTAACTCTTCCCGAGGCCTCCGTTGACGTCTCTCACTAACGATGCTGTCAACCACCGCGTTCCGGTTTAGGAATTTTATCCTGATTCCTTTTGAAGTTTTCGTGAGGCGCGGTCTAAAATATGTTTATTCTTTCCCCATCAATGAGAAAAGGTTAAGTTTTATTACGAGACGGAACTAGTTGGTTTGAAAGTACCGGCATAATTCTTGCTGTGTTGTAGAGGGCGTTGATAGATACCGTTCCCATTGCTAGAAAAAAGCATATACAGGAGAAATAATAAGTAAAATACAAGAGAAATATTAAGTAAAGAATATACATGTAATTGAACTGAAGCAGGTCACACAATCATCAAACAAATTCAGTTTCAGTATTGGCTTAAAACATCCTATCATCACACAAAGGTGATACGCGACCGAGGGAAGCACTAACCGCGCAGGAACGAGGCTCTCCTCTTAAGAGTACTACCTACTTTTTTCCTCTTTCTTTCCCTGAATAGGTTGCTAGCGGCAGATAGAGCTTTCAACTTATGGGTTGGTATTGATCAGAAACACGTCTTGGGGGCAGCTTTCGCAGGATGAATAGCACCAAAGCCGATGGAACAATCTCCGCCAACTGCAAAAAGAAGTGAAAATAATTTATGACAGATAAAAGCGCTTATATAAGAAGCAGTCAAAGACACAAGTAGTCCATCGAGGTTTTGGTCCTTCCCTACGGGGATAGATTGTAATATTTTCACCCAGAAAGTCCCTTCCAAAGTGTGAAACAGATATAGGTAAGGTCCATTAGATGATCCGGTGAAGTAAAGACTACAGTAGCTAGACACTACATGAAACTCGTGTCATGGTGACAGCAATATACAAAATTCGAAAGTTCAGGATTTAATACTTGCCATGTAATAAACAAGGTTGAGGATGGGATGACCAATGACATCGACATCTGCATCTTTGTCAAATGCAGAAACTGCGAGCTGGAATACAATCACGAAAGAAGACCTTAGAAATTAATGACTTTTCTGGTTACATGTGCTTTGCAATTGAGAAGGACTTACCACAATGCATCTTATCAAGAAACATGTGCAGCAAATGCCTGTGACCCATCCAACCTGCCACGTAAATAAGTTAGGAACCATGATTCCTAACACAAATTGCAAGAATTGCGTTTGAAAACTGCCACTGATGAACGAAATATAAGCACAAACCTCCTCTAGCTTTTTTTGACGTCCTCTTGACTCAATGGGGAAGCGCCTTAGCATGATAAACAACCTAAAGTGATAAACAAGTCATAGTAAACACTTGTTTTATTAAAACCAGAATAAAATTAAAATCCGAAAAACTCGGATGCTTTCTCAGAGCTGACAAAAGTCCTTGCCTTCCACCATATATCAAGAATCCCAGAGCAGTACAAAATGAAATAACTGCAAACAAAATGAACATAAACATAAACGTAAATAGTTCAGCTTTTCCATCTGCATAATAGTTTTTCTTGCAAATGAAGTCACCATCGACTTAATGTGCTGACCAGGGATAATAATTGCCTACTGCAATGAACTTATTATTCATACTGCACAACTTGAAATTAGAGGGAAATAAATTAACAAAAGGCAAAAATATTAATATAATATCGACTTTTGACCTGAAAAGAAGATTCTAGCAACTTCTACGGCAACAGGACTTCTGCTTAATCTCAAGAAAATCCAAATGCACACCTATCATCATAACACAATGACCAGGAAACAGTGACGCCCGCAGTGTAGCAGCAAAATAAAATTAATCCAACATTGCGTCCAACCATTTTCAACAGGAAATACATCGTTTTGACTTACCTGTGTGAAGTATACAAGTCCATTTATAACATAATATGCAGGTCTAAGTTTATCTGTTGGAAGACTTCTGGCCTAAAAAAATCATAAAACAAATTAGATGACAGTAATTAACGGGGAACAGTGATTATTTCACATCAGAATCAAAGGCAAAGAAAAGTTGGTATACGTACCTGGTGATAGATCTCAGCCCAAAATAAGACAAGTAATGTATATGTGGAGAAAAATAGAAGTCCAGGAAGATCCATAAGCAGCATTTCAAGAGCCTACAAAACAATAAGGCAGTGTCATCAGAAGACGTTATATATCAAGATACTGCAATTAGTGAAAAGCATCGAAACACAGTGATGTTAGGGATCAAAGCTACAATAAATCGAACTCCGCTTTCAAATCTTAGAATTGCAGATGTATGACCCGTGAAGAGTATCATACATGATGCATGCTACTGGAGAACAAAACCAGTGCTATTGAAGGGTCATTATCATGCATTTCTAATTTAACTGCTCCAACAAATCTTAAAATATCAGCCTGGTCAAGCCCGAAGCCTATTTTCACAGTGCGGGAGAAACAGAAACTTATACGTACGTTATCCTTGCATTTACCATATAGGAGAGAAAAACTAAACAATGCTGTACGTGGTAGAAAATGTGGGAGAGCAATTACAATATACATGAGATTTTCTTACAAGTTTTATGTATCATCTTAATACCACTACTGCAACTCTTCAATATTCACACTTTGACTAGATAAGCTACACCTTTTTCTAAGATAAATTTATATACTTATACAAGGTTGAAGGTTCATATTTCACTGGTCAAACTCATAAGGGAAAATCTATATGATGAAGATGGAAATGTATTCCTGTGCTACGTTCCATGAAAGAAGAGGACCCTGCACATCCTGTTTATAATTTTCCAACATACTTAATTGATGGACCTACGCATTTTCAAGTATATTTTTCCATACCAAGCATGAGAAGAAGTTGGGGCTCCACCCTAAAAGCAATAAGCCCTTGCCAGGTTTCTTAACTCTATTAGGTGAGACAATTTTCACATCCTCGCGAATCACTATTGTTTTCCATGGAATATTAAAAGTCCTAAAAGTATGAAAATTGTTACTTAAACATCATACACTCGCCACTAGGCCATTGTGTCCCAGGTTCAAACCCTCACTGCTCCCCTTAGTGTAGAGTTTAGCTTAGAATATCGTTTGTACTAAAAAAAGCATCATCCATACACTCACGAAAAACACATTTAATAATCCTAGAACAGGACAACATTTATATATGTATGTGTGTGTAAAATTATACATAAATAATTGAGGAGTGCAAATCACAAATATAATATCATACCTTAGGTTTGATAAGGAAGACAGTTTTGAAGAGACCAAATAGGAGAGCCCTCACTGCCCAAATGCATTTTGGTTTTCAGACAAAAAACTTATACAATGAATTAACAAAAAAAAAAATTAATAAATTAATTAATTAAAAACTTACATCCATTCACTAGAAAGTTCATCAAATGGAAAACCTTTTGTATTGTCCACCCATATTCTGGCACTCTTAACTGTATGCGCACAAGTTGTACCTGAAAATCATCTTTTTATTTATTTATTATTATTTGAGCATGCTGCTGTAGCCAGCTTGGCTACCTTGAACGACGAGATCAATATGTTCCTTCCATAAAAAGAAAACATGATAAAAATGAGAATAACAATGTTGTTGATTGTACCAGTGCAACAAGGGAAACCAATCCATACGAAGCACACAAGATATAGTAAGTGCTGCTGCTACCACCGCCACTCCCCCATTGTTTCTTGTCCTGATTCCACCAATCCTGTAAGCCTCCGCCTTCGCCACCGCCACCGCCACCTCCACCGTCTCCGCTGAAATTAAACACTAAGCCCTTCCTGGCTATCATCATCACCGCCACCTCTTAATTCTCTCAAACAAAATAAACAGACTATGTTTTCTTCTATTTTGCTATTCACAGAGGAAACTAATTAGATTGGAATATGATTTCTGTCTGGAGAAGCAGAGAAAGTTGGCAAAATGACGGAGCCAAGTGGAAATGACACGCGGAGAAAGGAGACTAGGACACGGAGATGGTTTAGGCCACGTGTGGGTCAGCCATGTTCGTCGCTTTCGCGGCGGACTCCTCCTCACTGGATCGGATCTGGATTTTTTAGTGGAGTAATACTATTCATTTAATGTTTTTATACATTTTTATACCATCTTAGGTGACATTTGATATGAACAGCCATATCATTTGAAAAATTTGTAAAATTCAAGGAAAGAAAGAAGAAAGACTCTCGTATATTACAATCATCATTTAATTAACTATTTTTTCTTAATTATTAGTTTATTAAATAATGAACTAAATTTAAAAATATGATTAATTCAAATGATGTGGTTGTTCACATCAAATGCTACCTAAAATGGTATAAAAATATGGTACAAAAACATGATATGAATATCATTACTCTTTTTAGTGCGTGCATTTACCATTTGGTCTGCATGCACTATATAGCATCTAAACCACCCAAATAATCCAAGGCCTCCAATAAACCACATCACTCCATCATTGCTCACTATCGAAGCACCAAGTTCATTTTGGTGTTCGCTATCCACATATCAATTTTACATCCACGTTGTTCTATTAGTATATGTCATTTGATTATCTTTAATTTATTTAATCCGACTATTGAAGTTTAAGAGGAATGTGTAGAAAATAAAGAAGGATGTCTAGATAGCACGACCTTGTTCACTTAAGTTACAGAGATAAAATCAATCAACGGCTTCTAATACACCCCATCATTATATCTTTGATCACCACCTAAGTTATATTCTACGCTTAAGTTTATTTAAGTTACGGAAATAAAGTTTTAAAATTGAGCGCAAAAGTAAGAACACGTTGCTGAAACCAACTCAGCTAAACGTAGATATACAAATGTCACATGTACATTAGTTTTGAAAATTTGAGGGTTTTTCTTTGGAAATGAGTTACCCTGAGGAGTTAGCAGTTGACAAATTTCAGGGTTATTACAACATGAGATAACCATTTCTCTTAAATTTATCTTTCAAGGCGACAAATCCTCAGGTGGCATTTGGGGACGTTTAAAAGATACAGATTTAGGTAACTTGGTGTTCAGGCAACCAGTAGGTCACCTTCCGGAAACCCGACCACGTGACCACCAGCTGCTGTGATCACTGTTTCAATTCTTTTCGATGAACTGGATCGGTCACCTCTATTGAAAGATAAAAGAACCAAAACAAAAATCATACAACCTGAAAGATGTTATGCCGCTCAGAGACGAAGCCAGAAATTTCTTCCCATAGGGGCAACCAAAAACAACTAAGAAAATCTTAGTATAATATAGTTATAGTCAAGGAAGAAAATATCGGTAATATCGGAAATATCGGTAGTCCGAAAACACGGAAATATCGATGGAAATATCGGTAAAATATCGATATCGATAAAAATTACATGGAAACCACGGAAATTGTAAGAAAAACTTGGAAATTTTTATTGAAACTTTGTAGGATGTTTATTTAGTCAATTATCTATTAGTTTATCACAAAAAATTGGAAAGAAATGCATTGCATGATGGATTTAACATTATCAAGTTGATTATATAGCGAGCTGACAAATATTGTGAGTGTAGAAAATATGTAGTAATTAATGAAAGAAGTCTAAACACACCATAATCATTTATATATAATGAATTAGTACAATATTTGGAGGTTTTATTTAGGATATTAAAAAAAAAAAAGGGAAGTGAATAAAATGATGAAGAATAATGTGCCGAATTTGACACTTTAAATTTCTTACACATAAGCATGCGTCTAGGCGTTGAAGTTCCAAATTATAGTATATCAATTAACGATTGAAAATCAATACATTGAATAAGACTAAACTTTAATTTGGATGCCGATTATGTTTTTTCAAGTTTATATAAAGTAAAAGAATTGAATTTTGGAAGTCAGGAGTGTGTCAATTGTTTTATAATTCGTTCGAATACATATATCAGGTTGCTACTCAACGTAATTTGAAAGTATACTAGTGCAAGGACTTGTCTTTTTTTGCTGATAAGCAAAGGGTTTGTAGCTTTTTTTGCTAAGCAGTAAAACATATTATGTTTGTTTAATCTTTAGCATTTGATGGTTGTCCACAAATATAGGATAGAAGGCCCCAAATTAGATCTGGCTCTTACCTAGTTGGAGTCACAAGTTCACATGTACCAGCCCTTGAGGCAATACATTTTGGTTTTTCGGCCAAACCACGGCGAGTTGGCCGGTGTGCAAGGTATCAATCTCTTCGTCTCGTCGAGTAGTACAACTTTCCTTTTTGTTTCACTCAATTTCGTTGAGTATTGAAAACGTTATACTTATTTGAATCTTACCCAGTTTCCGGCGACCTCAGTGGCTTTCGAGGAAATTTCCGGCCAAACCACAATGAGTCAGACGTCATGTGAGGTATCATTCTCTTCGTCTCTTTGAGGGATACAACTTTCCTTTTTGTTTCACTCAATTTCGTTGCGTATTGAAAAAGTTATACTCATTTGAATCTTACCCAGTTTCCGGCGATCTCAGTGGCTTTCGAGGAAATTTCCGGCCAAACCACGGTGAGTTGGCCGGCGTGCAAGGTATCAATCTCTTTGTCTCGTCGAGTAGTACAACTTTCATTTTTGTTTCACTCAATTTCGTTGAGTATTGAAAAAGTTATACTCATTTGAATCTTACCCAGTTTCCGGCGACCTCAGTGACTTTCGAGGCATTTTCCGGCCACAAAACGACGATTCAGACGTCGCGTGAGGTACCATTCTCTTCGTCTCTTCAAGGGCTACAACTTTTGTTTTTGTCTTGCTTGATTTTGTTGAGTTTTGACAAAGTTATGACCGTTTAAAGTGGGTGTGGATTTTCGGCCGAAATTCCTATTTTTTTTCCTTGGTCGAGTCCCACATCGCCCAGCGAGGGCAGTGAGCAAGCCAAGAAAGCCTATAAAAGGCACATTCACATGGTGAGAAAAGCATGTCTTGGTTAGCCTTTGGGGGCTTTGATCAAGTGTAGTATATGTTGAGATTTTCAACATTTTTAAATATTTTTAAATATTATATTATGATATTATCGATAATTTAAAAAATATCGCGAAATTTTGACGAAAATCATTTGGATGGTTAAAAAAATTTCGGATCTCTAAAAAAACGATAATATCGGCGATATTTCGCCGATATTATTGATTTTTTCTTCCTTGGTTATAGTCAATATGATATTAAGGATGGTTTGAATGACAAAGTAATGAGAAAAATATAGTAATGAGAAAAATTTCAATATAGTAGTGGAAAGTGGCAAAGTAATGAGAAAAATATAAATACATGATAGGCGGTAGAGGGTTTTCTCAATTTGAATGACAGAACAAGAGCATTATTGCTCATATAATATTTGATATAGAGTATAAGTAGAATGAATGTATGTTAGATATTAGTGTGAACACGAAATTTTCCTGAAAACGAAAGAGACAAGAACAACGTGCACAAAGTAATATTTGTATTTGATGATTTTGGGTTACAATCTCTCTATGTTGATCCTCTGATTTGATCTCCGTAAGGTGTTGATTTTTGGATGTGCGATTGATCCAAGGGCCGTCGGGGCTTGATCTTGGAAGAACGTTCTTCAAGGGCCGTGGGCTTGATCTTGAAAGTGGATTTGAACAGATCTTCAAGGAGTCGTTGGGGCTTGATCTTGAGGATGAGCGTTTCTTCAAGGGCCGTTGAGGCTTGATCTTGAATAACGGTGATGAACGGATCTTCAAGGGGCTTTTGAGCTTGATCTTTGAAGAACAGTGATGAACGGATCTTCAAGGGCTTTTGGGGTTTGATCTTGAATTGGTGGAAGTTCTTCAAAGGGGCCGTCGGGGCTTGATCTTGAAGGTGGATGATTGTTGATCCAAGGGCCGTCAGGGCTTGATCTTGGAAGAACGATGAACGAAGAACGAAGAAGGCTTTCTTGATTCTTTGGGATGAACAGATGATGAACGATGAACACTTTCTTCAGGGGCCGTCGGGGCTTGATCTTGAATCGGTGGAAGTTCTTCAAGGGCCTTTGGGGGCTTGATCTTGAATTGGTGGATGATTGTTGATCCAAGGGCCGTCGGGGCTTGATCTTGGAAGAACGATGAATGAAGAACGAAGAAGGCTTTCTTGATTCTTTGGGAACTTGGATGCTTGAGAGCTTCGGAGTTTCAGAGCTTCAAGGTGTAATATCAATTCCTTCCAAATGAATGAAATTGGCTTCTATTTATAGAATTCCAAAACTTGATTTTTGGGATTAAATAATCAGATGAAATAAATCATTTCTGCCGGGCGTTGACACATGTCCTGTTTGATGACTTTTCCAACTTATTTCGATTTTTTTGTTTAGACACACGCTACGTGTAAAATTTGTGTAATACATGAGCGTTGAAACTTTGATTTATCGGTCAACATTTATTTACCAAAATTTCGATGTCTACAAATGCCCCCACTTCAAGGCGTGTCGTATACATGTGCTTGTCACGTGTAGGAGATGCGTTTTGAAATCCCTTAATGTAGATGTCGATCCAAGGGCCGTTGGGGCTTGATCTTGAATTGGGCTGAAATTTTCTTCAAGGGCCGTTGAGGCTTGTTCTTGAACTTTGTTTGAAATTTCTTCAATGGACGTCGAGGCTTGATCTTGAAGGTTGAAATTGGACCACAAAGAGCTTCATGTGGTAGATGATCTTTGGCTTTGGTAGTGGATGAATCGGCACGTATTTGTTTGCGCTTGTTAACTTTCCACAGCTTTGATCTTGAACTGGGTTGGAGGACTTTCTGGATTCCTCAAATTGTTGACTTTCCACAGCTTATTCTTAAACTGGATTTGATTCAAGGGTGGTGAATCGGCACGTGCAGCCCACAACACCTAGCAAGTTGACCCAAGAATTTGAGGGTCAAAACGAGTCCACTACCCAGAGTGATTGCAACCCTGATGATATGAGATACTTTTGATTTTGAAGAAGTAGTAGATGAATCGGCACGTGCTTTGTTGTGCTTGTCTCCACATGCTTCAATGTATCATTTTTCCTTGCCTTATCTGTTCTTCGGGCAGATGTGGTATCTTCTTTGGAAGCATAAGATGTTGAGATAATGGGTA